TGGGTGCTGAGCTTTTTTTATTCCCTCAGGGAAAGCAGTCTATCATTTGAGCCACAGCTCCTCTCATGGCTTTTTGGTGTTTAAATGGAAATAGGAGTCTCACAGACTTTCCTACTTGGGCTGGTTTCGAATTGTGACCTTCAATGTGATCTTCAGGATCTCAGCCTCCTGAGTAGCTAGGATTACAGATAGGAGCTACAGACACCCAATCATTAACGAACTTTTAAGGAGTGTTAGTTACATACATTTGTTAGAAATGTCAAAAGCACTAGGCAGATAGGTGGGTGGAAATCTTCTAGTCTGTTGTAGAATCATTAAAAAGGAATGTTGTGATTTGTAGAGAACCTAGACTACATGTTTCAGACCTATCAGGTAAGGCTAGGATACACATTTGTAAGGAGAAAGCCTCCTCTACTCAGGTGATTTGGAGAAGCACAAGGTTAAGCAGAGTTAAATCCGTTTCCTCCCTGGTAGGTTTATTTTCCTGCTGTTGTTAACATGAGTACAAGTAACTCTTATTGTGAAATAGCTTTTTGGGACAAATCTTTTACAGCACACCCTTTAGGAAATACTGTTTTATTCCAATCTTTCATCCTGCAGATGAGAAAACTGAGGGCAACAGCCCTTAAGTGACTTGTTATGTTTATCTAGAGGGGAAAGCTGAATGCAGCTGGGTGCTAGGTACTGGATGTTGGGTAATATCTGATATATCCTGTAGCCTGTATGGTATTTTACACACATTTCACCCAAGCAGAGCTAGCTAGAGACATGTTCTATCTTCCATTGTGTAGAAAAGAAGATACACAGCCTGCTCTGGGAATTGGTTATTCAGGCTTTAACCACAGCCTCCCTGGATCATTGGTCCATAATTCAAATTCCAGGAGTTACAAAGTGCATGAGTATTTTTTTCCCCACTCAATGCCTACTGTGCAGTATAAAAAGATCTTTGAGATAAATTTACTAGGATTCAAAGTACAGCTTTGCCATTTAGCTATTTCTCTTTGGGTCAAGTCAGCCCACCGGAGTGTCAGTCTTTTAATCCACAAAGTGAAATGAGAATTTTACTTAATTTGGGTAACATTAGAGACTTCCAATGTCTCTGTCTGAAAGGAGTCTAATGAGTGAGATTGTTTTGATTCTTTAACAGTGCATAAAGGAGACTTAAAATTTTTCTGTGTTGTTTCGATGTGGGTTTCTGTTCTCTTGTTCATGATTACACATGGTAACTTTTTTGTTGTTGGTGTTAAGATTTTGCTAATGAAAATTAACTCTTTTCTCCTTTCACTGTCTTGGGTTCGTGGGTTACTGATGAGTGTCCTGCATTCACAGGTGTCACCTTTTATTCTGGTCCTTCATTGTATCAGTTACTTTCTCTTACCAAGTTCATATGCAAATTGCAAGGAAGCCTCCTTTTCTTCTACTTAGTATTAACAATTTCAGATTTTTTTAAAGTAAAAAGTCTTCACCAACTCTAGTTAGTGATTTCTGTTCCTGTTTGTTGCTGCAGAGATCCTCGTGCAAGATGAAATTGCAGTTCTCTTACATTTCTGCCAGTGTTCACTGGGAAAAGCTTGTCTTTCCCCCAGCAAGAATGGATTTCATAGACTGCCATAGCTCTTTGCAGAGAGTGAGCAACTTCCAAGCTGATGCTCCAAAAAAGATGCTCTTCTGTCACTCAAGACTGCACTCAGTGGCCACTGCCTGGGACACATTTTCAAAATGGACCCCCAGTGGTTACAGATGTGATTAAAAGCTGTCTACTTTCTGCCTCACTGGAGGGTTTGCTGTTTAAACATGTCACACACACACACACACACACACACACACACACACACACACACACACACTGCATACATACATGCACACTGCAACTGCCTCATGGAAACCATAAAATGTTTTGTAAAGATGAAAAATCAAACAAACCCTTGAATGACAAACCCTAGATTTTCTAAGTTTAAGTCACTGGGAGGAATCGGAACCATACAGGAGGTACATAAAAGGAATTTAAAAAAGAACCACTAATGGTCAGTAAATATATCCCATATGCCAGTCCATGCTTTGCACACGTCAGCCCGACTGAACATCTTAAAGATCTAAGTGCTCTTGAACTTAGCAGCTTCTTCTGCTCCTCTGTGTGATTCGAGATTTAGTTGTTGTTGTTTTTTCTTTTGGCCTTCACAAATTAAAAAAAGCCGAAGAATATTCCTCTGTGAGTGTACTACCCAGATATTCATTGACACAGGAATAATCATGTGTGGCTCATTCTAGGAATGGCAATTCTCCAGCAGAAGTTTACCATTCACTTTGCCTTAAAACAAAAGCTCCAATGAGCAGTGCAGCCAAAGGCTGGGTGTTTCAAAGGCAAGCATTTATAAAGCAAAAATAAAAAGAATGTTCTAGAATTTAAACCCAGGTTTTGCACCACATCATGCATGTACTCAAGTCACAGTGAGGTAAAACAATTCTACTCCCTTCTACATCCAACCCACTTGCTGAATCAGAGGGATTAAACCCCACGGTCTGTCTTAAATAGGTAGGAAAGAAACCAGGGGAATCTTTGAGAATTGTGTATCTCCTTCCTTGCTGTTTGTTTCCTCGCCATTCCCTCATTCCCCTCCCACAGCCCCCCCCCCAAAAAAAATCCTAGCTATCAAACCCAGTAAAGGAGATGCTAATCTATCACTAGCAAATTTAGGCTGACAATGCTGTGAATTGACTGCATTGATTACATTGATTGTATTTCAAATATTTACAATAGAGTGAGACAAGCCTAATGTATTTTCAAAAGAGTTCAAGGTAGGTACCACGGGTTACAGAAGGGGAAACAATGGAGAAATGTTTGTGGCTGCTATCTGCAATAATCTGATGTTGACAGAGAGTAGTATTTTATTTAGTAATTAACAGTGTAAAGGGGAGAGGAGCTGTCATGTTGGTTCCTAAGCTGGGGAATGTGATGAAAGATGATATCTGCGATCCCATCCTTTCCTCTTGTTTAGGTTTGTCAGGATGAGAAATGTCAGCATTATGAAAGCTCAGCTCTGCTCTTGATATGATAAAACCCTTCAAAAGCCAGTCTTTCTCTCTCCTTCATCCCCCTCCTTTCTCCCTCTCTCTCTCTCTCTCTCTCTGCACATGCTTCTTTTTTTATTTATCCTGTTTTGTTAGATGGCAGAAATATAATTCTTTTCTTTCTTCCTATTATAAGCCACCATTTTTGTTTTATTATATGTTTCACAACCCCTAATACCCCACTGAAAATTACCTTGTTAAATGACAGTGTTTCAAAGCCATGAATCCTTTCCACCATTCCCTCCGAGGTTTGAAACAGTCAACAGACTGTAAAGAATAAATAATAAAAAAGTATTGATTATTTTGATGACTGTGAGATTCAATTAAGTATTAATTTTGCCCTCCAGTGGACCTATCAAGGTATTCAAAAGGGAGGATTCGGCTCAGCTAAATGCGTGCTGAGTGCCTCAGCCTTAAATAGGGAGAAAATGTGTTTACCTACAGTATTTGAAGAAGAAGTGCATTGATGCACAGACTCCAATATTTAAGTGCTGTGCAAATTAAGCCCTGGTGACAGTGACATTGTTTTCAGTGCTATGAGTATTGACTAAAGAAGTGCATTTGATGACAGCTTAAACTATTTGTATTGATTAACATTTTCATAGATTATCATGTGTCATATCAAATTCACTTTTCAGGCATGAATACATTAAAAAAAAAAAGCCCACAAGCATAGAGCAGCCAACAGTGATGGTGCAAGCCGCCCACCTGCTCCTGCGCTAGTCACCTGTTTCCTGCTCAGGAACCATTTAGGCATGAACTTGGCAATAAATAGCTCCCAGATCACGGGGAAAAGGGCACTTCTTGTATTTTCCTTCCCTTTTGAATTTGATGTTTGTGCCAAAGCATTATTATGTATCTTAGTTTGCAAATGGAATGAAAGATTATCCCTGGAAAATATCTTCTCATCCTCACAAGCTCTTCTAACCAAGCTGAAGATAAAACTGATCTCAGTTATTGAGGGAGGAAGGGTTGGCCTTGCATTTTTTATTTCTATTTTGGAAGTGATTTTTGTGTTATCTTTAATGCTGTGGGCGTATGATGCTTTAGGTATCCGAATTATTGAACAATTTGTAAGTATTTACCTACTTCCTTTTACATGTTTTTGGTTTGCAAAAAACAATATTAGTGTATTTTATTGTGTATTGTTTGCTTTCAAATATTCATTTGATTTAGGGGTCAGCTTTAGTCGCCAATATGAGACCAGGAAAGTCAACTTGTAAGTGTGCTTATAGAATTTACATAAGAACTATCTTGAACTATCTTTTATTCCACTTGAAAGAGGGTTTTATTATTATTATTTTTTTAGGTCTCTTTTCTCCCTATCTCTTTGCTCTCTGGGCTTTTGGGATAGGGCTTAATTGCTTCTCCCCCAGGGAGAAGGCTTCTTAAAATAGCCTGTGGTTCCTCTATAGGGGGCTCTTTCTAAAGAGGTACTTTGCTAAGGTACAAACCCAACACTTCCTTCCCCCCACCTTACTGCATTAAAGACAGAACAAGGTGTAAAAACATTCTCACAAAAGCGTAGCCCACAATTAAAGCTGTGCTGCTTAGGTTGCTCTCAAAGAAGTTTTTCTTTCTTCTTTCTTTTTCTTTCTTCTTGCTTCTTTTTTCCCCCTTCTATGCTCCGTAGCATCCTGAATCTCTCACATGCTAGTTGAGCTTTAATAGGGTAGGGAGTAATGGAGAAGTCGTCGGATCTGTAATAGCTCTTCACTTGACTGCAGCCAGCAATAACAGCGGGAGCAGCCAGAGATAAGAGAGAGAGAGAGAGAGAGAGAGAGAGAGGAGAGAGGGAGACTGTGGATGTGGAAGAGAGGGAAAGAGAGAGGGAGAGAGGGAGAGAGTGAGAGAGAGGACACACACTCTAAAGCTGCTACTTTTTTTCCCTCCCCTCCACTCTCCCCCCCACCCCCCCATCCTAGGATCCAATGATAGCTGGACAAGTCAGTAAGCCGGTGCTGTCAGTTCAGAGTGAAATGAATGCGGAGTTGAGAGGTGAGGACCAGGCTGCTACTCCAGACAGCGAGCTCAATGAGCCCCTGCTTGCGCCCGTGGAATCAAATGACAGCGAGGACACTCCCAGCAAGCTTTTCGGTAAGTCTGTCTAGGTATTTTATTCCAGTCCTGGGTTGGTGTCCGGGAGAGCGCCATCCGCCACCACCGGCCCCTTTTGCCTTCCCCTCTGTCGTTCATTCCATTTTCGTCCTAAGTACTAAAAAAGGAGCTTGACATCTTGCAAGGACTGAACCACCCTGGCCGGTGGCAGGTGCCTCTCAGGGTGTCCTCCAAACTTTTAAGCAGCAAGGAACTTATTCACTGCCTTTTTTTGTTTGTTTGTTTGTTTTTTAAACTTGGCAAATATTTGAAGGCAGTTTCCCCAGAATGGAAATGCTTTGCTTTGAAGGAGCAAAAGAAAAGGAGAGAGAGAGAGAAAGAGAGAGAGAGAGAGAGAGAGAGAGAGAGAGAGAGAGGAGAGAGAGAGAGAGAGTAATCAGGAAATCAGTTCCATTGTGAGAATTGGTTAACATTTATTGAATAACTATCGACTCGTTTTCGGGTTGCTTCGCAGCCTTTTGTTAAGGGGACAGAGCCGTAAAGAGTTATTATCTGCAGTCAAAAGACAGAGGGGAAAAAAAACCACCGGAAAAGTGTCAATGGAAGTCAGGCTATGCCAGGTAAACAAAGGTGGTGACGGAGAATTGCTCAGAGAAAGAGCACTGTGCACAGCACCATTCACAGGCATGCTTCCTCCTTTAAGAGGGGAAAGAGTAGAGACAGTGGGTCCCTTCGCAGTCCTCCCCCAGCCCTCCCATGGCCCTTTCCCCTTTCATGTTATGTTAAGAGTCTCCTGCTAAACACGCAAGCAGCCCCAGGACCTTTCAGAATGCTTTGTTTCATAAACAAAACAAGAACAAGCAGAGTGCCACTCCAGCAAAGACATCTGTCATTCAAACCCGGGACACTAGTCAGGAAGGGGGTGGATGTCAGGGCTGATACGATTCTCTGATGGGGAAGCACTTTAGGGTGCAGAGTGACATCAGGTTTCCAGAGCAATTGCCCTAGAAACACTGGCTTTTAATTACTTTCAAGTGTGTCTTGCTGTGTGCATATTAATGCACGTCTGAAAACACACTAACCTGATAGAAATGTATCATGTCAGATCACTGCTGGGAGCTCTGGGGTTCAAAGACAGCCATGAGCATGAACTCCAGAAAACAACACCACTGCATCAATTACCTTCATAAGAAAGTCACTAATTTAATGTAAGAAATGGGCTCATTCTTTTTTTTTTTTTTTAACCTCTAGAAAGATGCCTTGGTAGCTGGACAGCCCTTGGTCAGTTTCAACAGAGGAGAATCTCCTTAATTTTTAAATGTTAATTTAATCAAACATCATCGAGGTGTGGCAGAGATGTTCTTTATGTTTTCCATCGGTAAAATCAGGACTTATACGAAAGGATAGAATAGATTTCTCATATCAAGAAATTCTGCCAAGATTACTTTTTTTTTCCCCTTAAATGCCTATTAGCTTTGATATAAATTTCCTAAACCTAGGTATTAATTTTGGAGCATTTTCATTCCAAAGAAATTTTTTGTTGTGTGAATTATCTATATATCTAACACATCTTGTTTTTGGAGGTCAGTGGGAGAAGTCAGATAAAATTGTGAATTACACGAAGGCAGAAGTGGAACTCAAGCCCTTCTGATGTTGAGTGTTAGCACTTCAACTTTAAGAAAGTAATCAATTGTGAGTTACACATAGTTGCAAATACTAAACTATTTGTTCTAAACTTTGTATGCACTTTTTAAAAAAAGGAAACACATTGTGTAAATGTGGGCTTTATATATCCCCAACTTGTTTTCTCTTGTAAAACCACAGAAGAATAATTCGTTTGACTTCTTTGTTTATTTAGATTTCTGCATGTGGGAAACTGTTCTGGATTTTTTTTTTATTTTCTACTCTTCCTGACGTAATGTGGAAAAATGATCTTTGAGAAATCTGACAGGGCCCAAGAAATTTGAATCAAAAGTTCACTGAAAATATACTTAGTAGGCTGCTATATCCTATTAAATCCTAATTTTTTAAAAAAATGATAGTGGGCTTTAGAAGGCCTTGAAGTTCATTTTGAGATTTTCTTTTTAACTTCTGAATTGGTGAGAGGATGCAGGAAAACAATCCTCACACCGATGTTGTAGTTATTTGTATTGGCTTGATGCCCTTGGTCTCTACTTTCCAAACACCAGGTGAAATCTTACCCAGTTTCCAGTGAGATAGAGAACCAGTCAGCTGATTAAGAGTATTTGGAAACTTGAGGGAAAAGTTGGAGCTCATGAGAGACGAGATGGTAGGCAGTGCAGTGAGGGGCCACTCCAGTGCTTTTGTAGCATTTAGACACAAGGCCTGTGTGCTCTTGAATTTTTGGTTTGGTATTTTTAGTTTCCATAATTGACCAAAACTTTCTAGAATAATTCTCTCTGAAATTTTCCTTTGGTGACAGAAAGTAAAGGCCATGTGTAGGCTCTTTTCTTTGACATGTATCTGTGCTGGTCTTTTATCTTTTGCGTCTACGTGTAGTTGTGATTATAAAGAAGAATTTGTGTTCTTCCTGATTGGTTGAGGGAATTTAGGATTTCTCCTATAATATAGACTATAATGAGTCTTCCTTCCTATAGCTATCACACTGTCTTATTGACAACTATGCTTCTCTAATGAAACGTACAGATTATGCCAATTCTGTGCATTTTGATTTTTTCAGTTTCCTGGGGAGGACTTATTCAACAACAAGCCATAAGAGGAACTCAGATTTCCCATTGCACCTGAAATTTCAGAACAAATAGATTTCTTTGAAGCCTATTCACCTACCTGTGTCTTGTTCAAATTAGCAGTCCAGAGGACAAACCTGTTTCTCTCACAGTATGGCACCTTCAGCCTAAAACTGCAGGAGGAAGGCTAATACTGATGCCCTCTATGGATAAACAAAAGGAAATTCCAGAAACCATTGGGTGTTTTATGTCTCTCCTTAAATTGTACCTCCGCACTTAACAACATCCAAAGGGAAACATACGGAGCCCAGTGTTTCAGTGCTCTGAGCTGCTCAGAATACCAGAAGGAGAAAGGAGAAAGCTATACGCCAGCCTAAGTAGAAAGTTCAGGGAAAAGGGCCCTAGTGTTTTTATAAAGTAATTACATCAGAAGTAACGCTTTGCTTAACTTGAACAGCCGAGGAATCTAAAGTACACTTAAGAGAGATAAATCCACATTTCATTGAGAAACATATAGTAGTTCTCTGGGATATCATTAAGTGGTATATTATTTATTCTTAGAAAGCTAACTAGCTTGGTTTTCGGCTCATACATGCACTATGTGAAGGGCTGAACCATGTAAAATGCTGTGGAGAAGCCCAGGCTTGCCTATTGGGGGCGATTCTCAGGGAGTCAGAGTCTGGGTTTCAGAGTACGAGAACAGTGGATCTAATGAGTTAATACCTGACTGGTTATGAACCTGTTGGAAACTATTCTCTAAACTGGCCTTTGGCCAACAGTTTCCAAGGGAAGAAGTTGCTGTGTTTTTCTAGTGACATTTATGGCTCTTGTGTCAATGTGGTGCTTCACTTTTAGTTATGCCCATCAAGAATTCAGTGTTCCACATTCAGACCAGTTGGATGCTAAAATTCAAATGGTAGCTCCAACAACTTGCTTGGGAAAATGGATGCTGAAATGATTTTTTTTTAAAAAGTAATATATATCCCTGGAAAGATGTCTGCAGTAAAGTTTTTCCATGCACTCCCTGCTGAAGAAGTGAGGCCTCATAAAACACACCCTAAATATTTCCCCCATATATATTTGAGATGTGAAGGCTGAATTATGAACAGTATTTCTCTTGGGAGAATTTTTATTGTTTCAAGTTAAACCTCACAATTGCTTTTCTTCAAGTACCAGCTATGTTGGTGACTGAGAGGTTCTGTGGCTTTGCGTCTCATTTGTACTGGTCCTGTTCAGGAATCTGACACAGAGCTCAAAACCTTGAACTGAGATGAGAAGACAACAGTGTTTATAAACAATGTACCTGAATTTTTTTTTTTAAAAAGCCATGGTTAGTTTTTTTTCCTATGCTATTGCCATTTTCTAGGTTAGAAAAACTTGCATGCAATGGTATTTGTGAGAGTGGGTGCTTTCAATGTCATTTATGTGTGAATTATTAAAAAAGGGTTGAAAGTCCAGTGACCTCTCCATCTTAGGAAATATACCTCTGTATTGTTTCTCTTTTCCTCTCACTGATCTTTCTCACAGAAACATACATTGTAAGATTGTTTTCCCTCCAAATTGCCATCCAGTTGGACTTGATTAGAATTTATGGCAGTGTAGTCATTTTCAATGACAAAAAGAATACAGGACTAAATTGTCTGTCACCCCTTGAGATGGTGGTCTCTGCAGGTTAGCTCGGAGGTCACAGCAGGCCACTGGGGACAGCTCTCCAGGGAGGAGCTGAGTCTTGGTGCGTAACTAGAGCGCTTCATTGTGAGATCACTGTCTTCATTACTTTAGTTAAACGTCTCTCTCTAGGTTTCAATAACTTGGATATTCATAACATTCTGATAAAATATGCTGGAACCAGTAATCAGTGCAGAGAGCTGAAGCCCCAGGGGGATTTAGCTGGGAGATGAGAAGAAACATCGTTGAGAGAAGTCTTTATTTAAAATATGGACCACGCTCTTACATTTGTAAAAGTTTCTATGCCAGTTAAAAAAATGTGTGCCTTTTATTTTACTGAAGAATGTGTATTTTTTTTCTAGGAAAAAATATTAAAACAGCCTGTTTTTAAGACCAATCAATTAATATGAATGATAGATTGTGTGCCCAACAGTTATTTGACAGCAAACAGTAGAAACGAGTATTTATGCAAGAAAGTGAGATGCATGATAAGATAGTTGTCAGATACCAATTGTGGTTTAATAGTCAAACAAGCCCTTTGTGTACTGTTATCTGACCTCTTCAAGGGAAATATGTTTCTTATATTAAGGAAGTCTAGTATACTTAGGGACTGTTTTTAGACAAATTTGATTCAGTGGAGGGCTCCCCCATTCCCAGAAAACC